GTTACCGAGATCTACAAAACGCATTTTTGAAATTGTCATTAAAGTATCGAATTAAAAAAAATTAAAGAAGAACGTGATTTTCTTATCATTGTTTGTAATTTTCATGAAAAAGTATGTTATAACATTGTATAGTGACGTTAGACCTTCTAACATCTGCAGACAATTCAAGTCATTTCGGTCAATTTGAAAAAAAGTTATTCCTGTTTTAAGACGTGTCCGAATATCAACACGAGTCGCTATTAGTACGAATGTCAGTCATTTATACTAAATCGAAACAAAATGTGATTCNTCTCTCTCTCTTCATCTCTCTTCCTCTCTCTCTTCATCTCTCTTCCTCTCTCTTCCTCTCTCTCTTCATCTCTCTTCCTCTCTCTCTCTCTCTCTCTCTCTCTCTCTCTCTCTCTCTCTCCCTCTCCCATAGTTCGATACACAATGGTCTAGGGAAATATGTTTCCATAAAGTAAAATCCATACACCCAATTTTTCTTGATACGTGAATAACAAAACAAACGAGCAACAAACAGTTGCCCTCGTTTTACACTACTTTTCGCTATAATGACAGAGGTGTCTCACTTTTTTGTGTTACATTGAAGGAACTACTAGAAGAGTTGTTTATAAAATAAACACAGTGACTCGCATTAATATTGCGACACCTGTTAAAACAGGATCATTCTTTTTTAAAAGTCGACAAAATGACTTTTGTTTGTTTGAGATGTTAGAGAGTTTAGTTTACTAGGTAATGTCTACATTGTTCTTTTTAAATTGCAATTAACTGGAATGAAAGAAATAAGAAACTCGCATTTTTTAACTTTTAGTAATTAAAGATAGCGAAAATCGCAGTTTTCCTCGACCTTCGATGAAAAACCAATTTCGATAAAATTTTTTTAGTGTGAATGTAAGTTACCGAGATCTACAAAACGCATTTTTGAAATTGTCATTAAAGTATCGAATTAAAAAAAATTAAAGAAGAACGTGATTTTCTTATCATTGTTTGTAATTTTCATGAAAAAGTATGTTATAACATTGTATAGTGACGTTAGACCTTCTAACATCTGCAGACAATTCAAGTCATTTCGGTCAATTTGAAAAAAAGTTATTCCTGTTTTAAGACGTGTCCGAATATCAACACGAGTCGCTATTAGTACGAATGTCAGTCATTTATACTAAATCGAAACAAAATGTGATTCTTCTGTTGTGAAACTCTAGGAATGAAAGTAAATAAAGACTTGCGATAAGCAAAAGTTTGTTGGAGATGTAAAGGCATTTGCCATTTTATCAATGTCTCATTCATGACTGTAGATTCGAGCACACGAATCTCGTTCTTGTTATTCTGTTACCTACTTTGTTCGTTCCGGCTTCGTACGCTTGGCGCGTGTTCAAGCATTATAATAAAGTTAACACTTCGTTTTAATTACATCTTTGAATGAAAACCCAATACTCTAGTTCTAACGAACGTAAAAAAAGTGAGAATCGACGCAGCTGTGAAAGAAATCGTAGCGCGAGGAATTCAAAGTATGGATTCTCTAAGTGTTTCATGAAATCGATACATCACAACTATTTTGACAGAAACATCGTGGTTAGAAGAGACCGGGGGCTCTATCTCGCGATTTTCGTCGCGTGCGAATTCCACGCGAATAAACGTTATTGAACAGAGAAAGACGTTCGGCGTTTCTCAGTTTGCAGAGCATTAATTAAAAGTTCACGGTGCGGTTGCAGCGCAAACCCTGGCCGAAGTGAAACCGGAAGGCGAACCAAGCTTTTTTGCACGCCGAGCGTGACGTGTTTCCATGATAATCCGGCCAGGAATTTTTGTAATTTAAATAGAAACTTTCCTGGCATTTTATTGGTATAATAATAGTCGAAGCGGCCGATAAGAATCCATAATTTTAACGAGTCCAGGCGAATGGAACACTCGCGTGTGAACACGTTTCATTTCAATTTATTCTTACAGTTTCGTATCGTCGATTCGAATGGCGATGTATAATCTTACGTTTCTCAATATTTAACGTATTTGGTGTAGCGTCGGCTATGAATCGCGTTCCAATTGTACGGAAAATGAAGCTGTGAAGTTAATTCCAGTGATAAGGAAGTGCATACTTAGTTAAACGTCTGTTTGTCCCGTGCATACATCGTAATCATTATTTCATGCGTTTAGTTCCTATTTAAACATTTCTTTCGGTTCAACATGCGCGCGTAAAAGTACATTCATTTATTGGCTAATTAGTAGATTGTGGGTTTTATTCATTTGTAGCATTTCCGGTGTTCTGAAGTTACATATTAAAAAGTACTCAAGATTGAGCAAAATTTGTGTAAGCTTTCTTATGATTGATTGATTTTGTTCATTTATGTACGCGAAGAACTCTTTAAGCACAAGAGAAGAGATAATACACAAGGAAAAACGAAATAAAAATTATAATGCTGCAATGGTAGTTTTAGATTTCCTAGGTATTATTTAATTATATTTGTTTTTACGTGTATGGATACATGATTAATCATTCTATTGATAAAATTTTAAGATCTATATTGTTGTGCGATGGTTTACAAAATGAAATAGCGTGTTGTGATTGCTTAAATATTTTTGCTTAAATTATTCTACATAAATTTGTATTTGCATAAAGTTCATTTTTTTATGTTACAAAGCAAAGTTATACGACATCAATTACTTTTTCAACATTCTTAACTCTTACGAATAATAATAAAATTAAGAAATTATTGGTTTCTTGCAGGTAATTCCAGTTTTCCAAATAGATAGCTACAACCCAATATGATGTATTAGCGTAAAAATAATTTGAAAGATTTAAATTTTGAATCATTCTGTCAGTCAAAGTGTTAATAGTGTAATTATGATACATTTTATCAATAATATAAACAGGATAAATGTTGTGAATAATATAATTATGATATATTGTATATACAATTCAAGTATTCTCGAAGTCATGTGTACACGACTCCGACCACACTTCGGAGTGTTATAATATCGTAGTGTTCGGACTTGAGTAATTGATAGTAATCTTGACGTTGCAAAAATACGGCAGTAAGAGAGGTTCGTTATTTTCGAGTCCACGGTATCGAATCTGGTCACGACGAATTTTTCCAATCCGTTCGCATTGTTGCCGGGTGTCTGGGTCGATCGAAGTCCTGTATTGCCCGATCGAGCAGCGAGATAGGTAACAACAATAGTAGTAATTTTATTGTCTCGAAGTTTCACGGAGATTAGTTTGATGAATTTACGAGCCGGGTTACAGTTAATCCCCGTGAGCGAATAGTGATACGATAAAGTTCGCCGGTGGATCGGTGTAATTGGTCCCGGGCCTGTTGGCGCGAAACACGTTACATCGACATTGAGCGATTGTATTTCGAATCTGTCCTTGAGAAAAGAGTTATGACCCGTATCCGTACGAGAGAGGAATCTGGACCAACCGGATTTCCACTGATTGTGCCAGACACTGTGGATGACACAGTTTGCAGAAACGCCCACGGTATTGAATGTCCCTTCGAACGCCTCTACGCCAACAGCCACCTAAAGGAGATTCCGCTATTATACCCTCGCGCAATCTTTTTCCTCTTCCTCCTTTCGCCTCGCGTAATCGCGGCTGCAGACGAGGATCTTCAGATAAACGATACGGAGCATCCGGCGTAATCTCGTTCACGCTCGCAACTGCTTGCATCAACCTCTTTTTTACGTTTCTGGCTCTTCGAGTTTCGCAGCTTCTCTCTCTCTCTTCCTCTCTCTTCCTCTCTCTCTCTCTTCCTCTCTCTCTCTCTCTTCCTCTCTCTTCCTCTCTCTTCCTCTCTCTTCCTCTCTCTTCCTCTCTCGCTTTCCTTCTCTCTCTCTCTCTGTGCGCGCGCGCGCGCGTGTGTGTGTGTGTGTGTCTTCTCTATTTCTCTCTGAAAGCGCGGTGACACGATCTTTCCGTTGTTTGCGGACGGCCTTCACCCTGAATGGAGAATCGTCAAAGTTAAGACAGAGGCGTGCTTGTTCCGTCCAAACTAATTAGCGAGGTTTTACGGCCGGCCATGACAGCTAATAGCTTCTCACTAAAGTCGAAGGATTTTAACTCGTTCAACGAAAACCACACATTGGTAGTTTTTCTTTTCATTTGCCGGTACATACTTGCTTCTTTCGACGCTGTATCACTTCGAATGCTTACCCATCGCTCCGTCATTCGATTTTCTCGCAATAATTATACAGATCAATTTTCTCTGGAACTCGTGGATCTATGGGTCATGGTGTTCAACAGTCCCAGGTGTTAAACGGGTATTAAGCTTTTCATTAAAAGGTGAATCAAAATCTGTTTTAGATGAATAGCATTTGTTAATTTGTGTATTATATAAATTGACTTTATTAGAAATAGATTGTGGTTTATTTTTTCAGTCGACAAACCTACTGCTTGAAAGTGTTATATGGGGAGAGTTGTAATTGTCGGTGGATTTATTATATAAATTAATGGTTTTAAACGGTGTTTATTATGAAATTCTTTTACTCTAAATAGTTATCAGTTAAAATATTTCACGTTATACGATACTCTTGAGATTTCTTTAATAAACAACACTGTATTCGATACACTGAGCATTCTTCAATAAACAACATTTCATTTTATAGATTGTGTTCTCTTCAATAAACAATTTACTCACTGACCACATACAAGAAATAGTGTTCAGAAAAATCAGAAAAATACCTTTTCGCTTAAAAGTAAATGAAATCCACCAGAAAAACCCATTTATGTGCGAGTAATATATCTTAACATATTAAATGTGATTTTCATCGAAAATAAACAAAATGCAGAAATAAAAAAATTCTACAAAAATTGAATATGTCGATATAGATACAGAGTTAATTATTCTAACACAATGAAAATAAAAGAATAAGATTTTGAATACGTCTTATTCGATAAATGTAAAAAGTCAATTGCTCGAAACTGAACAGACTAAAATAATTAAAACTGTGCCCCGTGAAATGGCAGCAGCCATTAAACCTTGTCTCTGTTTCGCTCGTTGCAGAAGAGGAAGAGATCGACGTGGTGACGTTCGAGAAGCCCTGCAGACCGGCGGTTCTGCCGACGTACCCGAGCGCGGCGGACCAGCAGCACTTCCAGCTGACAGTGAACACGGCATTTAAGGAAAAGGTCCCGCGGCCGCGGGGACGTCCGCCGTCGAAGAGGACAGCGCAGCCGGACTACAAGCCAGTGAAACGTGCGCGTCACAGACCGTACCAAAGGAGAAACAAAGTTGGTCGATGTGTGACAGTCGCGCCGCCGCCACCGCCCCCACCGCCGCCGGTGAAGGTCCCAGTACCGAGCACTTCGAGAAGCTCGTCGGACGACGAGCTGGACACGGAGAAGAGGAGCTTGCACAACAACATGGAGCGTCAGAGGCGGATAGAGCTGCGGAACGCGTTCGAGGAGCTGCGAGTGCTGGTGCCGGCGGTTGAGTCGAAGGATAAGGCGCCGAAAGTCGCGATCCTCAGGCAAGCGGCCGTGTACTGTGATATGTTGAACGAGATCGGTCAGATCACCGTGTCGAAGGTGACCGAGCTGCGGAGGCGGCAGGAGAAGCTGCGAGCGAGGCTCAGTCAGCTGCGGAGGAGTCTCGCCATGACGCGTTGAGGAGAGACTCAGCTGGTCGTATCAGATCCCAGCCGACCAACTATCCCGTTCGGTACGTACGAATCTAATTATAAGAGAATCGGCAACGACGATACCACTCCGGCGTTCGGAGACGAGGTCTCTATAAGCGCGTAGGAGACCGTCTCCGGAGAAGGGCCTCGAGCGGACCGCATCGCATCACCGGGGACACGCACGTGTGCGATCGCGACCGACAGGAGAGAGATAGATAGAGAGAGAGAGAGAGAGAGAGAGGGAGAGGGAAAGCGAGGGGGAGCGAGAGCGATCGCGGTTGTTCCGCGATTCACGCGAGTCGGCAGAGAATCGCGCGAGACGCGTCGTCATCCCGGCACACACGAAAACACAAAATAGAGACAGAGAGACAGACGCACGGCCGTCGTCGGGCAGCCGTGTCTCGAATCAACCACATTTTCTGGAGAACACACCACGGAGAGACCGAGAGTTTCGTTCACACGAAGAAGAAGAACCGGATTCTAACAATCGAGACACATCAAGCAGAGAACACACTAAAGAATTGGTGCCAAATATTAGAGGAGACCGAAGAGACCGACGTAGAGATTTCGAGATGATTTATATTTGTAAACGATTCGAGATGCAGGAAGCACGGAGAGAGAGAAAGAGAGAGAGAGAGTGTGTGTGTGTGTGTGCGTGTGCGTGTGTGTTTGGTTGGTTGGTTCGGTTGGGACGGGATGGGATCACGAGGTATTAGTAAGGACGCAAGACTGAGTTCAGCTTAGCATAGACGGGACGCACTGTCCGGACATTTCGATACTTCCCCTCGGGGATTTTGTTTTTCTTTGGACAAGCGTGCGCGGACGCGCGCGCGCTTGGTAGAATGCACACTGCGGAAGAAAACGAAGGAAGCGAGTACGTGGCCATGGCACACGTCGAATATATTATATAAAGTCAATTCTATTTTTATTATTCGAATTCCCGATCAGTGTCGTCTTATCGCGTAGATTATCGACTAAGACCGGTTTCGAGCAGCTGGGAACGCGGCGTCGTACATATTTTCGAGAAAATATATTACAAGGGAATGAAACGATATTCAAAGTATTTGAGATCGGAACGAGCACCTAATGAATCACTGTTGTTCGTCGTCTTTTCTTTTTTCTGTCCTCGTCGCTCGTTTCTGCGTCGATGGCGAAGACAGGCGCGTATTCGAGGAGGAGATCCGGGGAGCTCGTATAATTCGAGGAGCTAATTCGTCGCCAGGATTCGGGATGAACCTGAGCAAGAGCGGCCGCGTCGGCGACGTTGGATCGTTCGATTTCCGATTATTTTTGAATTTCGTTCGCCGCGATAATAAATCATGCGCGCGGAGAAGTACCGGAATCTTATCGGAATTTATTCAGCGTTGGCAATCACCGATTCCCAACTGACTGGTCTTAGGACGTATCTTACGGCTGAACCGGTCGTAGGTATAGCTTTCCTTTTGAAAAAGAAAAGCAGAAAAGCACACGCGCGAGCTACGACGATTCTTTTTCCAAAACTCGCTGCCCGGGGAAGAGTTTTCTTCGCGACGGCGAACCGCTGCGAAGAACTGGAAGAGTCGGTTGTGCTTCTGCACGACAGGTAGCTTGATTCTGATCGACGCGACCGCAAGCGACTTAACGTGCGAGTTTTGGCGATCGAATCGTCGGCGGATAGGATGCGCGCGGCGGTTGTCATTCACGGTAATTTCTCGTAATCCTCGCGGCTGTACACGGAATTTACCTTCGAGCTTCGATCGCCGACGAGGGAAAGACAAAATTCGTTCACTCCTCGGTCTGTACGATTGTGTAACTTAATTTCGGATCGAAGACGTCGAAGACACGCCGCGACGTCGCGTTTCACTATGCCATTATTCGCGCGAAAAGTGCGCAGAGGTTAAAGCCGACTGCGGCGACTGGGTAACCGCTCCGTTATCGAGTCGCGATTGTTCTACTCCTGAAATCGTTGTCCCCTAAATAGTAACTGTTTGCCGGTCGATTAATGATCGCTGTGCGATCTGGAAGTTCCAATATAATAGCGCCTTCAATGACATGATCCGATGCATCTGGTTGTGGCTGTATCCTGATGAGAGATTTGCGAGAGTAGGTGAACGAATGAGTCACGAGCCTGTAGATAGGAATAGTTTGCATTTAGCACACAGGGGCGAACACACACACACACACACACACACACACTGGCTGACACACGCGAAATTTCGTTCGCGTACCTTGAACACCGGAGTTGTCCTTTTCCCGAACGTTTTCCGCTGAGAGGACATATAGTGTAAATTACGAATCGATGTCGTCGGGTCTGTTCTCTTCCTGTCTTCTCTTCTTCTTCTTTTCCTCTTTTCCTCTTTTTTACCTTTCTAAACCGGCGACGCCGCAACACGAACATAACCGACACGTGATACACCAGGTACTTTTTACAGTCCCTTTTTACGCCTCCGTTTCATTCCTGACCCTAGCTTTCTCGCGGTAAAAACGACGATGTTTCGCGATACTTCGACCGGGTGCAATAGGAAAATTTCGGACGAAACAGTCTCCGTAGCGGATCGCTAGCTTTTGTTACATTAATTATTGGAAACCGCAGCGATCGTATTGGGCCAGGGACCGTCTCTCGCCGATCTCATCATACCTTTCATACGGCCTAGATTTCGTCTAGACGAGTATCTGCTACTCGACTTCGGTTCAACTCATTGCGGTCCTATGTGTTTTCTCTATTTCGTTTCAGAATTTGCTATAACATCTGTGACTTAGCAAATGTACTTAGAACGAATGTTCTTACACGCATGAGGTCTTCGAGTGTGAAGTGCGTAGATTTTATAGTAACATTACAGAGTTAATTGTGCATTTCATACTTAACGACCACTGGTATAATTACAAGTATAATGTAAATCAGCGAGATAAGCGCGAAAATCTTGTCATAGGATAGGGCTGCAATGGGTTGACTGCATTTTCATAGTTCACACGGCTGCAATACTTACTCTATTTATTAAAAGTTCTAGTGAATGAAAGAAATACAGTTTTTATCGAGGATTATAGTGTATCGTCACTGCTAGAAATTGCTGCCGCCGAAAGCAAGAACCTAATGCAGATCTTCGTGTCCACCGTTTTTCTATTTGCACAATTCCACTTCCGACTTGCGTCATTTCCCCACGAAACAAGGTCTGGGTGATGCTATCACGGCTCGCGGTTTTATAAACGACAATATCGAAGATGCGGATCGCGGATGATTTTGAAAGTCGATAAGAAATTGGCGAGATGGTCCGTAACCGATGCAATTGCTGAAACTGTCTCGAGAAGGGAATAGACGGAGCGCTCGCGGGAAGTTAGAGAGGGATTTGAACAATATTTTTACAAAGTTCGTTTTCGGGGAGACGTCGTGCTTTAACGAGGAGAATCTCGGTTGAGATAATACCGCGTTCACACGGAAAAAGTTCACTACGATTTATTTTTTAATTTCTTCGCCACGGTGCTCGTAAACGAAAACAGAGGAAAACAAAAAGGAGACAGAAAAGCGGCGACGTAGTTTTACACGTGAAGAGAAATGTCTCTGCGCGAGACCGATAGAGACACTCATCTACGCTTTTAAAATGTATATATATATATATATATCTATATCTATATATATATATATATATATATATATATATATATATATATATATATATATATATATATATATATATATATATAATAAATAGTGTACATATTATATGTACATTTACCCGCATATAGGTTTATATCTGCATATACAAGACGCATACGTAAATGATGCAAACATATATACATATATATTAAAAATTATATACGGAGACGCGCGTGCGTGCGAGAGAGAATGCGACGATCGAGAAAGAGGCGAGAGAGTCGCGACGAAAATTAACGCTACTAAATATTGACATTAACATTAATATTATTATTATATTATTATTATTATTATTATTATTATTATTATCATTAATAATTCTTATTATCACCAATATAACTACTATTATTATTATATTATTATAAATATTGTTAAGAGTTTTAGTTACAAGTTTTTTTCTAGCATTTAGTTGCTAATATAATGATGATTCTTAATCATTTTATCATGGTGAACCAATCGTTTGAGTGTGAACGATTGGAGCGCGATTATTCACTAAGATTTCAAGAATCAATGATAGATGAGAGTATATTAGGATAGGGATTATATATATATTATTATAAATATATACATATACGTATCTAAGTATACTAAATAACGAAATACGAACGAAATACGGACGCGTATGTAAATGAGACGAGAGGAACGAAATGATAAATGTGTTTCGTCGCGGCCGATCGCAAGAAATCCGTTCATCGGCGTCGAGTAATGGACGCGTGGCGAGTGCAGTGCCCTCGTGGGGGTGGGGGTGGGGGCATACGATGAAAAGAAAAGGCAAGATAATGTGTTCATTATATTTGTAGGTAACAGTATTCGTTTATATACATACTTTTTATGGTCTACCGAGCGCTAGAGAAATAAAGGGAGGTAGAAAACATGGAAATAGAGAAAAGGAAGGTGGAACCTTCCGGAAGATATAACATTTTCACACCGTAAAGCACACACGCGCGCGGAACACGTACACAAAATCTCGACACACCAGGAACTCTCACACGTAATCACTTAACTAAACGCATGGACACACTTGGTGCACGGCCCTGCGGAGAGGGCCGTTAGGGAAATACGCTCAACAATGGCGCGCGGGATTTATAGAGGAAGGGATCGGTAAAGTCGGATCGAGGATCGAAAACGTATGCACGTGCTTCCGGAAACAATGTTAATGTATTTCGTAGTTCGAGTGGTCGTTGATGCGCGGCGGCAAATAAAAATACGCTATATAAATATATATGAATATATATATGTATGTATATATATATATTATATATTCATATATATATATATATATATATTATATATTATATATTCATATATATATACATACATACATACATACATACACACACGCATACAGAGACAGGGCCGACTATAGACACACATACATACATACACACACGAGTACAGGTTAATTAAAGACTTAATAGACGACACGATGACGAAACCTGAATCGCAACCCAAGTGCTTGAAATTTATATAGGTACATATATAATCGCAGCGCGTAATAATATGCAGTTCCGAACACGTTCCAGGGTGAATACGGTTCAAGACGGGGTAGGGGCGGGTTCAATCGCAGACACGTCAAGGAGTTCGTTTGCCGAGTAGCTTGAAAAGGCCCTTGTCGCGGATTTCGTTCTTTCTCTCTTTTTCAATCGGCCGATTAAATTCGGCCGCCTTTAATCGGCACAACAAAGACTCGCAGCTCTGCGGTCGATGCCCGTGTGCGAGACCGATGCACCGGAGAACGCACCGGGACGCCCGCCGGATACGGGGTATCGTTCTAAAGCTTTAATAATTTCTTCTCGGTCAAGGTGGTGTTTCGAGCTACAAAGAATGATCCGCGTGTTCAATATTATAGCATCGGCCTTGCTACGCGCGCGACACAAATTCAACGTTCTTTCGAACCACGAACGCTTCAATCGATTTTTACAAGCAGAGATCCGTGACGAAGAACTTTGGGAGTAAAACGGCATCCACGTGTACCTGAATACAGTTTTCCGCTGGTAGAATGTTTTAGAGACCGGCAGGGGTTGCATAATATTGATTCACTGCCACTAGACTGCGCGTTTTTATGCTTTTATAGGAAATCCGAAACGGAGTTTAACGCGGTGTACTTGTTCCTCGGGCCCAGCTTTTTCCCGAATAAGATATGAAACTAAAGAGCTCGCAGTCGAAATATCACCTTGTTATCGTCGAACGAGCAGAAGCGTGTTCCTGATGCTTGTGGTCGGCAGTGCCGCGATCCCGGATCGCGCGAACTGCTTTCCGTAGTCTGGGAACAGGGAAGATCGAACGCAGCTCCGGGAGTTTATCGCGAAAAGTAAGCTCGGCACGTTTACTCGTCGGATGGAGTTTCGTTTTGACAGAGCGGTTTGATAGCGGTTCACCGGTGGAGAACATCGAGTACTGAACGATACACAATTGCCTTACACATATTAACCACAGTAGAGTTTCGGCGTTCCGACGTCCGCGATTACCAGGTGCGTAGCTCCCGTTATATTTTTGACAGATTTTTTATACGTTAACCTCGCGGTCGCTAAAGGATATTAAGAAATAAACCGAAGATGAAACGGACGCTTCAACAACGATTCTGGGGAATCATTTACTCACGGTGGTAAAGCGGGAATGCGCGCGTACGTTTGAACGAAAGCACAGTAAACGAAACGAAAAGACTAAGATTTAAACGGGAGGACGATGAAAGAAAAGCAAGGTTTTTATAGATGAATACCGGGATTACCGGGCACGCCCCGTCGTCGGGCTGCCACACAGAACATTGTTCATATACTCAGGATAATAAGAGACGCCTTAATTTTTAATCTTGAATTCGGTCCCCGAGAATTACGGGAATAACCTCGCGTACAACGATTGTATTTATGTACATAGGCTATATAGATCGAGGGAAACAGAGGAACAGCTTATATACGGAACGTTGTTTCTCCTTCTCTCGGTATTAATGATAAAATTATATGGTGGAAAGAAAGGAAGAAGGAAGGAAGGAACGAAAGAAAGAAAAGAGATGATGTATCGGTTAGGTTTCGAAGTTCTTCCGCGTTTTAACGAAGATAAGGAATTCGTTAGTCGATGTGACGGAAAGGAACTCGACGATATATTATATGTATACTCACACACATATATATATATATACATATATATATACATATATACATATTTAATATACATACCTCGCAATAGATTTCGCCTTTTCGAAGACGGTAAACTTCCCTTTCACGCTAATGGATAGCAATTTTGTTCATTTAGCCGCTTCTTTTTCTTCACTTGCTCGCGTGTCCGACCTGTGAGTTCTCTGTATCGTGCCAAATCATGAGGGAAGGTCGACTGAGAGAAGAGAGGGACCCATAGTTACGGATTTAGTCGAGCGTTCATTCGTACCCGAACCTTGGTTCGATGATTTAGGATCGATTAGTCTGAAACTGCGACTCACTTTTATTTATCTCTAAACACACATACACACACATACACAGCGACGCACACTTACACGCAACGTATGCATTTTTCTCGTACTCCATTTTGTTTTCCCTGTTGCCCCGGCCCTCTTTTCCTACTTCATTTCGTTTTTATTTTGTTTCTCCTTGAAAAATCGACTGGAAATTCTATGTCTCCTCTAGACAAAGACATTTCTTCGAGAAAATTGCTCAGATAGAGAGCATGCGCGCGCAAGAGAGAGAGAGAGAGAGAGAGAGAGAGAGAAAGAGAAAGAGGGCAAACCCTCGCAGATGGATCGTGGGAACGTACATATATAGATTTTTTTTGTTTTCTTCGTTTTCAATTGTTTTTGTGCCTTGGTCGTCTGGCCCGGCCCGTTCGCGTGACGCTTTTTACCCGGCGGATTCGAGTTCGGAACGGTAACCTGCTGCGTGCGCGTTATTTGAGGCTTCGGGGACGGAGAATTATTTCCCTCTGTTCCCGTTCTTATGTGTTAAGGATGTGCATGTACCCGGGAGCGCACACGGAAACTATATTACATATACATATGCGCTATGTATACTAAAACGATAAAAAAATTAACAATAATGAAGAAGTAATATTAATGTTATACGCGACTTTGTAATTTTTATTCGACGAGAGAGAGAGAGAGAGAGAGAGAGAGAGAGAGAGAGAGAGCGAGAGAGAGAGAGAGAGAGAGTGAATGACAGAGATACATTGTGCGTGCATATAGTGACCAGGTTCATCGTTTCGGGCATTGGCGGAATGCTGCCGCGAAAACGAGAGGGAGTGAGAGGGAGAGAGAGATAGAGAGAGAAATGTTCGCGGGTTCAACAAACACACACAGGCACACACACACACAGGACACGATTCCTAATTAAACCGAGATTGGTCTGCGGATCATCTGGTGTATCGTAAATCGAATCAGGTCGTGCGAAAGAAAACACAGAAAAGCGAAATTTAAGAAAAGAAAAGAAAAAGAATTCGAAACGAGCGTCGTTTCGACGCTCAACACCTTCTCCAAAGTACCTGTTAGCTACATAGACATTAAAAGTTATAAGAAATAGTTACTGTATGGAACAGAGCAAGAGCGAGATAGATAGAGTGAGAGTGAGAGCAAGAGAGAGAGAGAGAGAGAAAGAGAAAGGAAGGAAATGTGAGTGAATGTGATAGATAGGGGGGAGGGTTGTGTGATGAAAATGATGTTGCGCGTTTGGATACAATTTACGTCGACTCGTAGCTTTAGTTTAGAAAAGGGCACGGCAATTACTATAATAAATGGAGATATCCTGTGCATGTCTTGAAGGCTGTTTATATTAAGCAGTATGTCGAGGATTGCCGTCCGTTACCATCCTGACGGGAGCCCAATGCGCCATTCAAATCTGGTATTACCCATCGATACCTGCGCGCCGTACTTAAGAAGTGAGTCCCACAGGGCGGAAGAAACCACCTAGAAGACGCTGTTGGGCAAAGCTGCAGAAATGTGTTCGCATACGGTCAACGAGACTGCTGCTATGCTCATCCTATTCTGGTGCTGGTCAACTCTCCCTGCTCGAGAGGC